CAGTCTACTGGGACTTTTTGTTTCTTCTTTTCTATTGTAAAACTGCAACTCAGACTTAATCGTGGAAATCACGAGTGAAAATGGATTAAGTTCTTAGAAACAGGTGTTTACTCAATCGAAATGCGTCCCTCCGCAGAATACACACAAACACACTGGCTTTCTACCTACGTTTTCAGATCTGGTGTCACACCCGTGTGGTTCAGAAGCATCGAAGGCTGCACATTTAGAAAGCTATACTGCTGCTTTTATTTTTTCCCGCAATTACCATGCTTCTAAGCATTGGGTGAGGCTCTCTGACATTTGCAATTCCATTCCATCATCCCCCCTTGCAAATGAGAGCCGAGACACATTTTGCATTTGAGAAAACAGTTTGGGTGGTGCGGGGAATTTCCCACACAGCCACTGGGGGTCCCGCAGACTTTCAACCTATGGCTTTGCCTGGTGCCAAATCCCAGGCTCTGCCACCACAGTGATTTGTCATCTCACAGTTCTCTTGGGAGCTTCTTTCAAGGGCTCCATTACCTGGACTGGGTCCCTCTGGCCAGGGACCAGAAAGATGGCGTTAGAACAAACGAAGGGACTCTCAGAAACACCTAAACCAGCGAACAGGGTTTAATTTGTCATGGGGGGATAGCAACACAACTTAGTGGTAGAGTGCGTGCTTAGCAAACACAAGGCCCTGGGTTCAATCCCCAGTACCCACCAAAATAAGTAATTGGTCAGGATGAAACCGGTACATCGGTCCTATTTCAGCTTCCCCAACTGAGTCCTCCAAGAGGCCAGGGCTGGGGAGGCTGCCAGAGGTTTGCACACCAGGCCATCTGTGGCTAGCTTCCGCGCTTTGCCACCCTGTTTCCTGAGTCTCTAACGGCCGCTCTATCCTCCGAACATGCCACAGACAGACTGCCATTGGCACTACGTTTGAAACAAAGAAAGAACGCCCCTCAAAGGAGGGAAACTTGCTTATTGGATTAGGATCTCTTTCTTGTACAAATGCTCAGCCTTGGTAGGCTGGGTATTTATATTCCCTGTGACGATTCTTACACATCTCTCCAACCCTATCGAAACTGTCAAACAGGGAGTTTGCTGAGGCATCTTTCTCTGCTGCTTCTGCTGCCATCTTTCACAAATCAAAGAAAGACTTCCTAGGACGTTGGCATTAGGTCAAACGCTGATGACCCGTCAGGCTAGCCAGAGGGTGGTGCTGATGGGGCACGTCACGACATTCTTGTCACCTAGTCGGTTCCCCATGGGTTCACACCCACAGATTTTACCTTTAATCCTGTGTGGGAAACGTTCAATGCCAGCAATTATAATCATGCTTTCATAATAAGGGAAAGTTCTATACCTTGGTGAAAATCCAGTAACATCCTCTTCAGATGCAAAGAACAAGAATATTTTAAAGAGCAGCAGTTCAGCCACTTTAGATGAATTAGGAGGCAGTTAGAAGGAAGCTATCTAGTGAATCAATAAGGAGCTGATCAAAATACTAATCAAACTTTTCATGGGTTTGCAAGTTGATGCTGTGAGATAAGACACTCCCATTTTTGCTCAGCTGGGAGTTTGAGCTTATAAAAAAAAAAGAATGAATTAAATTAGCATTCAAGCTCAGCATTAAAACCCTAGGAGCAAGAGAATTCCTGATAATAAAAAGTCCCCAAAGGGAAGATCACCCAGTGTTACGAAACAGTGTTATGAAACACTATGAAACTGGGTGAAGATCTTCCCTTTGGGGTTGTTAGGTTAGGAGCTGATGTTATACGTAAAATCAGCCAGTGTTATAAAACAGTGTTCTTTTTCTCAAACAAAGAATGAAATACAAGATCAAAAAACAAGCCCACCACACAAGGGTAAGCTCAGTGTCACACCAAATGCTGTTACCTCTGAAGATGTACAGGATGCCTTACTTATTTTTAGTGTGGCTATTATTTTAGTGTGGCTTTGGTCTTCCTTTCTTTTTTGTATGGTAGTGTGATGTGCACTTGACATATTTCAAAAGTTTTCTTTTCCATCAGAAAGCTGAGGTACCCTAAGGCCTGGTGTTTTACATGGGAACTCATGGGGGAGGTAGGTAGCAGCGTTTGCGGGGAGGGGCACTCAAGGGCACGTGTACAATCACGATGATCTGCGGAATGTATTTCCTGGAAGAGGAAGGTGCACCACGAGGCACGGCTAAGGATGGGCACCAGAGTGGTCAGGGGCTCAGTGAAGCACCTGCTCAGAACTTGACCAAACCATGGAACTTCTAGAGCACAGACAGTTGGAAGGACGAAGGGCAACAGGCTGGCCCCTCATTCAGTTACAGGGTGCGATGACTTCTGCTCTGTGTCTTTTCCCATCCACTAAGTGGGGCTAGAAATCAAGTTAGCACCTGGCAGCCCTATAGCCTTCCTGTTTTCCCTGGATTCCTTGTATCTTTTGTATTCTTTTTATGTGAATATATTTAATACCCTCAAAATTATGTGTATGCTAAAAATTCAAAAGTCCAAAGGGGTAAAATAGTTGCATATAAATATACTGCCGACAGTACAAAGAATATATAGTTTAAAGTAACTACTTGGAACACAGTTCCCAGTGCCTCATGAAATATATCCATTTATTCTTTTCCTCCCTCTTCTCCTCCCGGCTTCTCCCTCCTTATATAAACACAAACAATACCCAAACAATACACATTTTTACACAAACAATATACACTTTGTTCTGTATCCTGCTTGTTTTTCTTATACCTCTTACATTGTTCCACATCAGTTCTTATGCATGTCCACATGATGAACCAACATCTTCATACATGCAAGCCTTATTTGCCTTATTTGTGCGCATTGGCAAGCATCCGTGTGGACTAAATCTGTTAGTGACATTCCAGGTAAAAAAAACACACATTTTAAATTTTGATAGTTAATTGTCACATTGCCCTACAAATGCATGAACCAACCTGCAACCTATCCAATAGTATGTGAGATGCCAACACACTACCTAACTCACTGTGTCACCATACAGTTTGAGCTTACCCATTTGAGAGGTAAGAAGAAAAGCTTCTCACTATCATTTTGAAAGAATGCATCTTTTAATGAACAGCAATATCAAATAGTTTATTGAGTTCTGCATAAGTATTCTCAGAACATGTCAGCAAGTACTTTTTTTTTTTTGCATTCTTTAGTTGGTATTTTGAGTATAACATTTCCTCCATGCCAGGAATATTGAGGGCCACATATATAAAAGATTCAAAACACAGACCTCAACCTTAAAGTGCTCACAGTCTAGTAGATAGGACAGATGTTTTAAAAATAAATAATATGTAGTGTGCTAAGAACAATAATGGAGTATATGTATTGTCTGAGTACCCAAGTGATTAACTAAAGGAGGAGACTGTTCCTTAAATAAACCTTATTTGTTTTAATATTTTAATTTTTTGAGATAGGGTCTCATCATCTTGTCCAGGTTGGGCTTAAGCTCTGTCTCCCAAGTAGGTGGGAGTATAGGTGTGTACTGCTACCCCTGTATTTTTGTTTTACATTTTATAAATATATTGAAATGTGATAAAAGGAGAATAAATATGATAACTTGGTCAGTGAGAACCATGACTATGTTGATTACAGCTAATAATGAAAAGTTCTGATTAGGTGAATCCATATTTCTATTTGTGGAAAACAGTTCACAAAACACTATTTTATTGGGCATTTGTTTTCAGGGACTTACAACTTTGTATAAAATATTAAAAACAACTCCATTCATTTTGCAGCTTTTTAGCTCTCTCGTTGATTAACAAATCAAAGAACAACTTGTTTCCTGCCTGCCATTCCTTCTCCTCCAACTCACAGAGCCATTAAACTTTTAATACATGGTGAATCACACTGACTATTGGTTCTGTTGTACCGTGCTGAAGAAGCTTGCCCCTTAGCATGAGGTGCATCAGGAATGGTTAATTACATTACACAGAAAGCCCTTTCGGCAATCAGAGGCAATAAATTATAAATTGTGATACAAAATTACATTATCACTGAGGCCACAGTTTTCTATTTTGTTTACAACATAACATCAACAAGGACTTTGTTATATGTCTTACAGAGGGCCAGTTTAGGATAGTGCTTAGAATCACGGATTTGGAACCCTGATGATGGGTCTGAAGCTCTGCTGAACCAGGTGGGTGGCTCTGGACAATTGATTTAACCTCTCCGGATTTCAGTTTCCCCAAATTCAGTTTATAGGCTTATCATAAGGGTCCAGTAAGTTTACACCCATAAATAGTAGCACTTACTCTGAAAGCTAATTATCCCCGCTGATATTGCTAAGTTCTATTATATATCATGTATCATTCAGTCCATTTTTTAAAAGACAATGATCTATTTACTCATAGTATCCTGCCACTGTTTAAAACTGTTTTAGCTGAAACAAGAGACATATGTTAGAGATCAGTCCATGTCATCCCCATTTTCTCTTTACCCCAATTAAAGCAGGGTCACAACCTCTTATAGGATTAACTACTGTAATAGAGACACCCACTTCTCACCCTCCTATTTTGCACACACACACACACACACACACACAAAGGTTTCATTTACACAAGAGTTAACTAATTTATTAAGAATATATTACTAATTTTGAAATATATGAGGTATTACAAATTACAGAAAAAGTCCCTGTGAATCCATTCACATTACTGCCCTTTCCCAGAACCCCCCAAACATCTTAAATAAAGAAACACCACCACGAAAAAGAGTGGGTTCTGGAGAAAGTTATTTTTTTCCATCATAGTCCAAAAAAATCAACACTAACGGAGAGTGAATCAGAGAAAAATAACTAGAACTAACATTACCATAGATCTGCAAGTGAAATTCACATAGCAAGTTTGAAATATCAGCAAAAAGACACTTGGGTAAGCGCCCAGTGGCATTGCTGACTGCTTGGAAGGAATGAGAAGACAGACAGCCCCTAATTTCTGACAGTTTGGGAGAGCCATCTATTCATCATCCAATTGCCATTTGGAGAAAAGAAAGCTATACCTGTTACACCATCTCATCACCGTAGTCCAGCATGTGCTGCCAAGCCAGAATATCCAAGACCGGGCAGTTTACAAAGAGGAGACATTTATCTTTTAGATTACTAGAGGATATGAGATCCGAGGTCAAGCCGCTGCACCTGGTGAGGTGGGCCTTCTTGCTGCGTCATAACACGACAGAAGGTATCCTGTGGCAACAAAGCAGGAGACCTGGAACTCACAGCCTCACGCCCTTCTACAGGACCTTCATTCGCGGGGGTGGAGCTCTCGTGACTGAAACACCGTCCCTGGGACACATGTCCTATACTGCTTCAGTGGAGATTCGGAGTTCAGTGCATGAATTGTGGGTGCACATTCAAACCACAGGACTAACCCTTTAAGAAATGAAAAGAAATCGTGTCTTTCAAACTAGCAACTTAATGTACTCATCAGCGTGTCTTTCCAGTTTGAAAAGAAAAAAAAAATGCTGGAAGACATTCAACAATTGAAATTTAGATGATGGATTCACACTGGTATTTTGCCATAACAAATACACTCGACAGCCAGATATGACTAAAATTAGAAGGAGGACATCGGAGACAACATGGAGACTGCAGTAGAAGAGCAGTAAAGTAGAGAGAAATCAGAATCTTTTCCCAGAGCGCAGTTTACATACCAGAGAAGGACACCAATGCCATTCAAAACAATCAGAAGAAGGAACTCATAACACAGTAACACCTATGACTACGCAAAAATGGAAGAGAGACTGATGAAAGAAGGCAGAAAATGTGCTTTGGGGACCCAAAACAGTCAGATTGAAATAGACATATGCTGATCACAGACATGAAAAATAGGAAGTAAATAAGAATTTGTCTTTCAGAGCAAGAGATACGGAGAAATGAATAGATCGTGGCTGGGGGCATTTCATTTAAGAGATATGGTTTAATAAGCAGTACTGTATTTGGATTACAGATGCCATCCATGTCCAAAACCTGGGATAATCACACTCATTTCAAACTGATCAATTTGGGTGCAGAATAGGTTTTGTAGTTTCAGAGAGAACTGAACTTGCCTTTTAGATTGGGAACAGAGACATAAAAGAAATTACTCGAAATATCTACTCTGTATTAATCACTAATCAGTTGCAAGAATCCTCATCCAAAACTCTGCCACAGTACATGTGGTTCATTTCTATTAATCCTTCTCATTTTAAGAATCAAAACATACACTGATGTGTAGTCACTCATATGGTTGATATTTACAAAGAAGGTGTGAGCTAGGGACTGAGCAGAGACAAGAAAGGTAACACAGGAGGTTTTGTGAGCTCTGAGTGCTTTGCAGTAGAGGCCCAGGTGAGGTGAAGAGTCAGGACAGTGGTCATCCATTCTTCTGCAGGGAGCTTGCCCGGGGAGTGAGACACTCAGATCCAGGACAGGATATTCTACTATGTTGGCATGAGGTTGAAAGTGGGGAAGCCCAGGGCTAGAAACAGGGTTTTAGTAAATATGTTAGCCTGCGTACAATGGGCATTACATAAATACGCTATGGAGTTGTTGCAATAGTTCAATAAAAACCTGCCCAGGGCCTGGGATGTAGCTCAGTGGTGCCGCCTGCCTGGCAAGTGCAAGGTCCTGAGTTTGATCCCTGGTACAAAAACAAACAAACACCCTGCATATATTCTATCATCATACAAGCACACAGTAGGCATTTAAATATAATCTTTCTTTTATTTTTCTTAGTTATGGTGAGTTGAATAATTAAAGGATTGCCCAGCTTTTCTTCCAAGTCAAGTTTGTAAGTGTCTCTACCTGAAAAACATACGGGATGCCAATCAAAAGGCAATCACCGCAGTAAGGCCAGATGGAGGGACAAGTGAGGAAGCACCTATGGGGGAGCACCCTCTCTTTGTGCCTCCTAACTGCTCTAAAACAAAATTAATTTATAAACATTTCAATCCCACTGAAAGAAAAATCTCGAAAATGTTCTATGTGGCAAGGGATAACCATTTGAAACTAATTGCACAATACTCGCGTGCTACCTTCATTGTTTTATCTTAGTAATTACAGGAAGCTTAGGATTTGCACTTCACCATTTCTATTTTTATACCATTTTAATTTTCTCAAATGGTAACTCACTCATGATAGAAGTTTTTAGCTTAAACCCTCACAGTAGAAATGTTTTGCTTTGACAGGAGTCTGAAGCCTCCATTTTGGCTCCCACAGCCAATTCTACTCGATATCAGCACTGTAGACTCACCTGCTTCCTTCAAAAGTACATGTAGGGCTGCCAGATCAGAACAGACCACCAGGTCCAAACTGAATTCCAGCTACACAAGAAGTAACTGTCAGTATGAGCACATCCCGCGTGATGCATGTAACACAATTATTATACTAAAACATTGTTTTAAATTAAAATTTAACTGGAGGTCCTATGTATTTTTCTTTGCTAAATCTGGCCACTATATACTAGGTCTTCTTAGTTCATTAGTGCAGTGTAGAAAAAGGAAGCCAAGGAAAAGACTGGAAGAGAAGAAATAAAGCTTAATGGAAGAACTCACTCTCTCACTAAAGATCACTTACCTTGGCAGTACGTCTCAAAACAAACCATAGACTATGCACTTTCTAAATGAAGTACTGAATGCATACAATCGGGAAAGGAGAGTTCTCTGATGAACCTGGAGAGTAGTTAGATTTTTGCAATCATGTTTCTCAACTAAAACAAGTTCACTATATCTGCCACATTTCATAAGTAATCATTTTAAAAATCTGCTTAAGAATAATTCAAGATTCCTGTCCCTTGATAGAAAAGTGAAAAGATGCAGGTAAATCACTGAAACTCACGAGGTGCACATTTGCATGACAACTTAACTTCTATCTCATATAAAAGAGAAATTGCTACCAAGACTTCAGGTAGACATACCAAATTATCCCTTGCTTCCCTGAGTGAATTTTCTGTGTTGTATGTAATATGACAAATTTCACTGTTCTAAAAGAATTCTGACATTCTAAAACTTTGATGGTTAAAAAATATATATGAGAAAATGAAAAAATGGAAATAAAGTATTTGTAAATAGGGAAGGGAGGAGGGGGTGAAGGGAGGGTAGGGACAAGGGTAAAAAATGAGAATCAAGATCTGTTATGTAAAGGTACAAGATCCCAATGACAAATGTAACTGTACTGTATACCTAAAATGTACCAATATACTCAATGAGAGAGAAAAAAACTTCAATGGTTTTCACTTACTAAACACATTCTATCATTAGGAATTTCAAAGACAACATTTAAATTCCCTGTAACCTTCCAACTATCAACCCACAAACCCAATTTGTTTCTTGGGTTTGGGGAAAGTGTAAATACGAAATATTTCATCTGTAAGCTGAAATCTACAGCAAAGTCCCCATGTCAGGCTGAGAATGATTTGTGACATGCCATTCCCAAAAGAACATAGAAACATTAGCCATTCAAAACTGTGCTTCGTCCAAAAGAAGAAAATGTTTTCCTAATTAAAGTGGCACACATTCTACCCCTGCACTTCAATAATAACATTTTATCTGGAATCCTCAATCATATGTAACCACTAAAACCAGGCAAAGATGTGAGGATTATCAAGAAAAAATATGAAATTCAAGATTTCAGAGGTGTTTTCAGTTCCACTGTCAAGACCTATGAAATAAAAAGTGTTTCAGCCCCATTCCAATGTGTACCCCATCTCTGCATACCCATTACTACCACGCCAAGGTTACACACAATAAGTAAGTGCTCCCCCAAGCGTCTCAGTAATTTTGATCACCCCCATTTCAAAACGCATTATGACCAGCACAACTTCCAACCAGGGCACTTCCTGACAGAAAGACAAAGCCAAGGAAGGCATTCCTACCAAGTTTCTAAGTGCATTTCATCTGTTACCATTCCATGTAAACAAATAAAAATTTTTAAAAATTCAAGAAGAAATTACTCATGAAAGAACATATTTTTCAAGTTTTTAATGTGTCTTCAGACTGCTTTAATCTGTCTCCTTACCTCTCCCCACTCAGGGCGCACACATGCCACACAGTCCGCTCGGGTAGTTTATGTCACATGTGACATACACAAAAGCTTTCCCCTCTCGGTGACAGTGCTCTGGGTGCACGGCCAGGCGAGCAGAAAAGCACGACGATGAATTAATTGCACAACACGGTCAGCATAAATGCAGGGGTTTGCGACAAATGCCTTGCAAAGGGACGAACGGACGCTTTACATCTCGATGTCAATGTTAGGGAAGGTCCTTAGTTGTAGGCATGAGCAACCTTCAATCCATAGGTCCTGGCTCACGCAATGTAAGGAACTTCAGAGAAATGACATTGCACCCACAGAGCAGGCGAGGCTGATAGTCAGAGTCTCTGCTTGAGGATCTAATTAGGTTCTCCCTACCCCCACTTGTCCCCCTACTTTTCTTTTTTAATCTCACAGAGACACCTTAGCAGAAGCAATCAGCTTTGACAAAACACCGAAATCCTGGCAGTGAACCATATATTGACCATTACCATAAAAAGAGCTGCTAAATGAGAAACCATGTGCTCAGTATAAAACTAATTTCATGCTTTCAAAAGCACACAGTGGCTTCTAGCAAGATAGTGGCCCTGGGACTTGCTAAGACAGATTGGTGAACACAAATGGTCTGCTCCTGATGCGTCAGCTTAGTCAAGCTTTACGTGTACTGGCAGTAAGCGGGGTTCTCGAGTCTTCTGTCAAACAAATACACATTTACATGTAACTTTAAAGCTGACAGTTACAACAAAAAAAAAACCTGCCTCAAATAAACCTAGCAGGAAACACACACACACACACACACACACACACACGCACACACACACACAAACACAGAGACACATAGACACGCACACACCCCAGGTGCCATGTTAGCAAATAAAAATAGACTTCTCAGCACACCGCACATACTAAACACTCAGTGAGCATAATGTTATTTACGTACATCACAACCCTCACAGTCCTGTCACGTTTAGAAACAGCTTCTCATCTTATAGGATTAGAGCACAGCAGAGCCTCAGAAATAGGACTCCACCTACTAGGGGGCTAACTTTGAGCCATCCTTACCTAGTTGATTCTCAAATACCCTATATTTCAAATGCTACCTCCGACCTCTTCGAGCACCACGATCTAATAACTTTCCCTAGGTGAGCCCCGGGGGAGTTACATTTCAATGACACAATCTGATAAATTTAAAATATCACATCTACTTAAAACATGCTTTATGAAGAAATGCTGTTAATTTCCCCTTCTCATTCCACAGACCATCACAACAAACCAATTACTGTAGGTTGTCTACCGCATGACAGGTCATAACTTCTAATTATTAATAACGTCAAGCCTAACAAGGTGTCAACTCCAGTATGCAATCCATTTCTCTTACTTTCTTAGTTATCTCATAAACATGACTTTGTTTCCTCCTATATATTTTTCACATCAAAGATAGTACCGAGTATATTTAGTTTATAGCCTTTTTATATAGCCAAAGCACATAATAACACTGCTAATTGCCTATTTTCAGTAATGACAGCAAATCACATAATATCACTGACTTGTTCTGAATGTATAAAATGCAAAGGAAGTCACCTACTGGTAAGATGTTCTCGGCACACAGCTAGTAAAGAAAAGGATGCTTAGCACTCCCCTGTAAGGAGTTTCTTCCCAGTAAAATTAAAGAATCATACATCTGATCTTCAGTTTCCCCTGCTCAGACGTGCCAGCAGGATGTGACAAACACAACTGATGACTCCACAGGATTCAGCACCATGTATAAGAGAATCTGTTACTGACATCCCAGACCCCCGCATCCAAGTTTCAGAATAAAAATGCTCACCTCTGCTAGGAAGTCCACTCCACATCCTGGCAGGGCGTTCAGCTTCACGAGCAACCAAGTTGGGTAAACAAAACTTCCAGGCTGTGACCAGGGTGATGCACGGGGCTAAGGGGACTTGGCTCCAGCCCTGATTACCCGTGTGACAGCACCACGTTATTTCAGTGCCGCTCCAAACCTTCCCAGTTGCTGGCTTATTGCACTGCTCATTGAAAATCCTTTACACGCTGGCAACATTTTAGGGAAGGACAAACACTCTCTGAGTCATTTGTAAAGAAAGCAGAGCGAATTCAATTCTATATCTCCACGCATGCTAAAACCAGAGGCACTGTCAACACACAAGTCTGAGGTGGATTTATGCCGAGAAACAGGCAACCTAAGCCTTCATTATCAATGCATGAAATCAGCCACTGTGATCAAATTCAAGCAAACCACAAAAAGGATATAATTATGAAAGGTTCCACAGACTTAGCACCAAACCTTGGAGAATGAAGAATCATCTATCGAAACTGTAAATGTTAAAAATAGCTCTGGCTTTTTCAACAATAAGCAGGATACAGAGAAGAAATCAGTACTCTATATTATGAGACTTGTCATAAAGGCTGCAAAAACCAAAAGAGCTGTAGGTTCCTGGGACTTTTCTGCTGACAAATGAAGTCACTACAGGCTATGTCAATTATAAGCAATTTTTTCCATATATTTGACACAGATGTCCAGTAAAGAACAAGTTAGATATCCTTTAACTCCTAAGTGCCTGTCTCTAAATTAAAATAAATTGTGAAAATGTGCAGGGTTATGCAAAATACTGTCAGTTTAATTTCAAAACTTCCTATACCATAAGGAATTCAATCTATTCTATATGACAAAATAATAAACATGCAAAAGGGTATTTTTAACATTATTATCTTTGCTCATTATTTAAAAAAAACTATAGCTCATTAAACTCATACATTCTTTTTCCAGCCACCCCTAAATTTAAATCTTTACCTTTTGCCATCCTGTCTCATGATGTCAGAGCCAGCTGATGCAATCTTTAAACAGCACAAGGATTGTTATACCCCAGAAAGCAGCAACACTGATTCGAGACCTCAAAATACACAGCATGACATGCACATGCAGAAAGGACACAAAACCTTTACAAAACATCGCAAAAATAATGAAAAGAAACTCCCAATAGGTGGAACTGACAAATGACACATTTAAAGTTCCATTCAGACTTTTTAAAATGGGTTTCAAGTTCTTACTGTCTTAAAGGAGAGCAAATAATCAGGATCTGATACGGGCAGTGCTTGAGTTGAGGGTCTTCTATAAATGACTGAGTTTAGTCCTAGTGATGCTGAAACCTTAGGTGACACATTTGCAAGTGTCTATAATTTAAAAGATCTGTGAAAAATTATTAATAGACCATAACATACTTTTATGCAGCACCACACAAAACGCAGTATTAAACATGGAATCCCGAGGCTGTCCTTACTATGTCCCCATGTGTACAGCTGACTCTACAGACTGCTAGACACACTTCCCCGAAGACAGACACAGACATACACGTGTGGACATATGCACGTGAGTGTGTGTCTACGCACACAGGCGCACATATATAATGTCTCTGTGCAATCACTTTTGGCACCTGAATTTCATTCATTTTTTAGAATTCCCTAAGCAACATGAGTGTATGCTAAAAACACAATGGAATCACAGATTTCACAACTGCTCCCATGTCTTTTCTGTTCACTTCCCTTGTCCTTCCGTCTCCCTCTTTCTCTCTCCCCCCATCTTTCTCTAACATATATGCACATACATACAATACCTCTTGTTTGAGAAGTTAGTTTATGAAAGAGTTTGTACCTCAGAAACAAACCCATGTGGCTAAAGCCATCTGATTCTTGGCAAAGGAGTCAAAAATACATGTTGGAGAAAAGACAGCCTCCTTACCACATTGTGATGGACAAAATGCATATCCACATATAGAAGACCGGACCTAAATTCATATTTCTCTATAAAGTCAAAATGAATCAAAGACCTTCGTGTAAGACCTGAAACTTTGACACTGCTACAAGAAAACATAGGAAAAACATCTAACGTCATAGGCACTGGCAAAGCCTTCCAGGAAAGGAACAGCAAGAATCAACAAATGGGACCACTGGTCCATCAAATTAAACACTTTCTTCACAGCATGGAAAAGAACAAGAGCGAAGAGACACCCTACAGGATGGGAAGAGAAATCTCTGCCAGCTACTCTTCCAACACAGGATTACTATCTAGAACACAAAAAGAGCTCAAAAAAATCTTCACACCAGAAAAATCAAAAAGCCCCGTCAATAAATGGACAAATGAATTGAAGATGCCTCTCCAAAGAAGCACAGAGGGAAGAGAAGCACAAGAAAAAATGCTCAACATCTTTAGTGACTAGAAAAATGGAAGTCAAACCCACATTGAAATTCCACGTCACCTCATTCAGAAGGGTTACCATGAAGAATAACACCAACAGAAACAAACAAATGGATAAATGAGGACAAGGATTTGGGAAAACGGAATGCTGCCACGTTGCTGGGGGGAATGTGACCCTAGGGAAAACAGATGAAGATTCCTAGAAAAAAAATAGTGGCACTATTGTTTATTCAACATCTTTAGTGACTAGAAAAAGGCAAGTCAAACCCACATTGAAATTCCATGTCACCTCATTCAGAAGGGTTACCATGAAGAATAACACCAACAAAAAAAAAACAAATGGATAAATGAGGACAAGGATTTGGGAAAACGGAACGCTGCCACGTTGCTGGCGGGAATGTGACCCTAGGGAAAACAGATGAAGATTCCTAGAAAAAAAATAGTGGCACTATTGTTTGATCCAACTATACCACTCCTTAGTATATATCCACTGGAATTAGAGTCAGGACACTGTAGGGAAGACTGAACATCCATGATCATTGTAGGGTAAGTCACAATAGCCGAGACATAGAATCTGCCTAGGTGCCCATCAGCAGATGAACGGGTAAAGAATATGTGAGCATCTGTCTATATATCTGCCATGTATATGTCATATATGTGGAGTGTTATGCACCCATCAAGAATGAACTTGTGTCCTTTGCAAGAAAATTATTGGAGCTGGATATCATCATGCTGATCAAAAATAAGCTAGATATAGAAAGACGAGTACTGCATGTTCTCCCTAATGTGTGATATCTCAAAGATGACCTGAAAGTAGAAAAGAGGCTATTATTAGACAAGAGCGAGGGAGTAAGGGAGTGGGGGATAGAAAGGAGTGTAAATGAGGGTCATGGGAGGGGTGGATATGATCAAAACAAATTATACAAATAAAAACTAATGTTTTGTAAAGATAATAAGCACTAAAACTTTTTGTTTGTTTGTTTTGTTTTTTGAGACAGGGTCTCACTATGTAGTTGAGACTGACCTGGAACTCACTATGTAGTCCAGGCTGGTCTCGAACTCACAGCGATCCTCCTGCCTCAGCCTCCCGAGTGCTGGGATTACAGGCGTGTGGTACCACACCCGGCTCAAATAAAATATATTTTTACAAGATGGAAGAAAAAGAGTTTGTGCCTATATGTTTTATTGTTGCCACATGTAAAGCCTCCTAATTAAAAAAAAAAAGTTTAAATGAAACCAAAATTTGATTATAGGTCCTCAGTTCCTTCTCTGAAGACCGTGAATACCTGGCGCATTCCAGAACCTAAATGTTTTCAGATCCTAGAAGGCAAATCTCTGCCTGAACCACGAACTGCGGAACATCTCCAGGAGGATCCTGCCGCCTCAGCGGCTCCGTAACGAAGTCTGTGCACATTCACACTAGACCGGCTCCATCAACACCATCATGGGCCTCACATCGGTCCAGCCAGGCTGCTCCAGCAGAGCGAATTACCATAACACCTTCCACGTCTCAGAGCTTCTTGAACTCCGGGGGCTGCAGGTCGAAGACTGAGGTCTTGCAGAACGGCTTCCTGATATCTACCAAGCTCTAGATTGAGAACCGGGGCCCACACAGGTGCCGTCCTCCATGGGAAGGAGATTTAGAGTGGCGCACTGCTTTAGCGGGATGAGCAAACGGTACGAGGAAAGGTGCTCTTCAGACTGAACGGAAAGATGCCCAAACGAGGGCGCGGGGACGGAAGGCGAGCAGGAGCCATCCACGATGACTTAATTTCCAAACATAAACAAGTCATAATAATAGTTACCATTGATTATCAACTTTGCGTCCACTAGTGTGAAAGAAAGTTGGCATAAATATTCTTTATCAACCTACCTTAATCTAAAAAAAAAAAAATGCTAAAGGAAGAATGTATTTTCAGATTGAGACACAAAGCACCGACTTTTCTTACCATTACTCATTGTGCCCATAGTAAAATATCTAGAATATTAAAAATCACTTCAGACATGGTCAGAAACAAAAAAATAGCATGCTTTACCTTATGAAGTAAAGGTCCATATTTCATTTGTGTATGCTATAGACTACTTGGGGTTAAGCTTTCTTCAAAATCACTTGTAGAAATCAACAGTAACAGTCTTTATCATCAATATTCAAGCAGTTTAATTTTTAAAATGAATAGTCTCGAGAAACATCAATGCTGTTTCATTTACCTGGGGCCTTTCCTCTGAGTGTATTCCCCAAATAGACACTTTTTATGAGGAGGTACAATGCAGAACCTTAGCAAAGCTTGGACACTGGACTCCAGACCCTGGACCTGGAAAACATTACCACCTCCTAAGGATGTTTCCTGGGTTGCCCGGAGGGCCTCGACCCACAGGGGCAGACATCCTGGAGGCATTTCTGTGAGTCACTGAGCAATAAAGCACGCTGTGCATCTAGAATATGATCGCAAAGTCATTTTCCATGTGAGGAAGGTAACTGCATTTATTATCTTGACAGCGCACGATGCTGAGAATTGTATCTTTGACAACATGGTACGGGTCCTCTCGCGGTCACCACCCCCCAGCTTCTCCAGACCCCTCAAGTAATTAAGAGAAGAATGAACGTGTTTCACAACTGGCCCAAGAACCATTTACCAAAAACTCCCCCAGTGCCAAGGACAAATGCCAGGGCAGCCAGCTGCAACACCCCCAGGGCCCTTCACCTGGAGGCAGCCTCCCTGGGACAGTGCTGTTGAGCTGTACAAGCAGAACATTCGTGTGCAGAAAGCTGCTCGGTCAGGGGGAGAAGACAACTTAACAGACCCCAGTGGAAAATGAACGCACTAATGTGGTCTTTCCTTTGAGCTAACTGCTGAAAGCCACTCTCTAGCTGCAAAGCAGTAACGTTTATATTCCAGAGACAGCAAGACTTCGGAATGCCTTTGATGACTCAAACCACTCACCCACCACGTTTGGCTTAATTGTCTAAAATAAGATTAAGATATTACACTCTAAGGTATCAGTGTTTGGTTTTCAAAATCTAAAATCTAATATTGCATATTAAACAAACTTATTTTTTGGTAAGTATGATATACATGAAAGTTCATAGTCCAAATCAGTCTCAAAGCATAAGACTATACACATTGAATGGAAAAGGGACCAACCAGTTCTTTTAATTCTTATTTTTTAAATTCATTCAAATTCCTTTACATATTGATTCCCTTGACGTTCTGTACCAAAATGATCAACACCGTTGTTTAACACTTTTTAACTACAGAATTGGAGTCATTTTATAATGACTTTCTCAAGTCTAGCTCAGGCACAGCTCTAGATTTTTGATTTCTAAAATAATGGCCACGACTCTCATAGTCAAAGCATTTTGGTGAGTGGAGGTTACTACTGGAGCCTTCAGCCTATTTCCAAATTACTCTACTCTCATTCATAAATAACACCCATCTCAAAGAGCTTACCATGTAAATCTCAATTAAGTTTACCTGGGCAGAACAGATGCTCTGTTCTGACACCAATTCTATCCTTG